GACGGCCGCAACGGCCGCAAACCCACAAGCGAGCTGGGTTGAATGGCCAAAGATGGCGTTGCGCAAGACTCAGGCTCTTCATGCCTTGACTCAAACTTGGCCAATCTGGTCAAATAGGCTGTTGAGCCTGGAATGCAACAGTCGCAAACCCGACACAAGATTACACAAGTGAATTATGCCGCCGGTAAAGATGCCCCATCAAGTAGCAAGTGGATGAGGGACGGTCGAGTTTCTTCAACGCATCTGCCAGTGCAGTTAGTGCACGGCTGGATGCACAAGGCTTGGAATGTCGGATTTGTCGCACGGCAAAGCTGGCAGGAACAGGTTGCCTCCAAGCCAAACCTGACGGCTTAGAAAGCTTTTCCCAAGCCACAAAGTTCAAACTTCAAATACTTCAAGCACACGAGTTGCGCAGGGTGCATTGCCCATGGTAAGGAGTACGTCGGCACCCTCGGAGACATCCACAGCGCAGATTGCAAGTTCCACGCAGATTGCTTTTTGAGCCCAGGTCGTCGCAAGCAACTTGCTCCCAATCGCAACTGGTTCAGTCCGAGTATGACTCAGAGGGCGCTGGGCCACGCTGGGTGCTACTCAGGGCTGGCGTATGTGATGGAGAGCGCTGCAGGTGCTGCGCAACTCAGCTTGACTTTGACTGCGGGTGTCCCTTTTGGGACTGAGGCAATTCGCGAGCGCAGGCTCCAAGCCCGCATGCGCAGGCCTGCGGCGTGTGACCACTGGGGAAGCCAAACAAATCTCAGGCATTGCAGGAGTCCGTCACGCATTGAAAGGGGGAGGTACCTGTCACCCACAACATCTTAAAAGACACTCATCTGAAGACAAACGGATAAGAAAACTACTATGTTGACCAAGACACCCAGAGCAATGCTGTCTTAGGCTAGCTTGCAAAGTGCGCCAAGGCTTGATGCACGTGAGTTGACCGGTTAGGGACTGGACTCAATAAAGCTCTGCCCTTGCATTCCAAGCTTACCAACATGTCAGACCATTCCGGCGGATTCGCAAACTCAACAATCCCTCAGCTCAGTATCCCACTTCCTGTCACTCGCTGTTCAAAAGGTTTTCATCTGAGCACACATGCTTGGCAACATGATGACCCAAATCAAAGAAAAATTGGCTCCAGCGGTAGCAAGCCGATTCGCAAGCTACGCTGTCGTCATTTGCAGGCTACGAGAAGGACGAGCCTGGCAGGATTAGATTGACAGTGCGATGCAGCCCTACACGGACTGAGGCAATCCTTGGCCATGGCTCTCTGGAAAGGGCAACAGGGAGAGTGGTGCCATCCCGGTCAACTGCAAACGGCAGGTTTGCACACAACAAGTCACAAGTCGAAAAGGCACCCATCGCAAGCCAGCATCAGGGAAGCTTTGGGGATGCAGCCTGGCCCAGACAAAACAGTTTGCTTCCCAGTTGAGCAGGTCCAAAAGTTCCACATCCACCTTGACGCCCTTGACGCCCTTGATGGCCCTGACGCACTCATAGCGCAAAATGTGCTCCAACCCGAGCGAATGCCTTGCTGTTCACGCCTTCTCTTCAAGATGACTGAAGTCGTCTCAAAGCCATTGGATGGCTCGGATCTGGAAAGATGCCCCTGCAAATCAATTTTGAGTCTGCGAAGGCAAACGCTGGCCTGAGCTATCACAAGTCGCCAACCATGATTGCCCATCATGAGACCCAAGGGCATGGCAATCAGCACAAATGCGTCAACAATGCTGCGCTTGATAGACGATAGACGCTTGATGGCAGGCTGTTCCGACTGCAAACTGCCACCCCTTCGGCGCCAACCTGCAGGGCGCGACCCGGAGCCATCGAACATGGTTCTACAATGTCTATGCTTCGGACACAAGAAAGGGACTTAGCAAAAGACTCGCAGCAGCCAATGTCCGCCACGCTCTGGGCACATGCAATCAGGCTCAGGACGGCTGCGACAGAACCCTCGGCCTTGATGGGGCCAAGAGGGTGCCAACTGTGCAAGTGCGTTCAAGGGCAAATTGGGCGTGCAAGACGTGCCTCGGGCGATGTCCGGCCAAGTCAAGGTGGCAAATCGAAGGGATTAGCCTATGCATGATTAGCCAAGTCAAGTTGAGCGGCTCCAATGCATCCCAAGAGGCCATCATCCAAATCGGGGCATCTCAAAGCCAACAGTCCGGAAGTGCCTTCCAAGGCCTGGAGACGCTCGCGGTGCGAAAGCTAGCCTTGAAGGTTAGGGATCTCAAACGCAGCTTGAGCAAACGTGCCCAGTTCGGGTGGAACTCTTCGGATCTGAATTCGGATCTGAATTCGGATCTGAATTCGGATCTGAATTCGGATCTGAAGGCGAACGGTTGGCAAGGCACTGCCCACATAGAATCAAAGACACGATACGCCAATCGAGGCGTGCCGAAAGCTGAAGAGCTATGTGCCTAAAGCCGGTGACCAAGGCCTCTTGTGGAAAACTGCCTCAGTCCTGCCTGGCGTGCCCGTGCCTGGCACGCCAAGCGGACAGAGCCTTCCGAGTATACGTCACTACTAGATCCGCAGCTGGCTAAAAATTGGCCAGCCAGGTGACATAGCGACAGCTGGCGACTGCACTTGTCCAAGAGCATGCAAGAATGTGACATGGGGTGGCACAAGTGGCCATCCACCCCAATGCCAGACTCATGAGCCTGGTAAGGCTTATCACGCGGCGGGCATTGGCCCTGAATGAAACTGAGGACTGGCAATCTCTCCTGCGCATGCTCGTGAAGTTGGTCAAACGAAGCGCGCACCGAACGTCTCAAACTCGCGCACGGTCAGTTGAGATTCATGCAGAAGGGTGACGTTCTGAAGAGTGGGGAGGAGGAGAAGAAGTCCCATCAAGTGGCAAGTCAATAGCCAATGCTTGCTACTTGGAACTTGGACCCACAAGCCCTGCATGCACACTCAGGCCCAACTGTCACCCGTTGCCCTTGCATAGGTGGTTCACACCTCCTCATTGAGACCGAGCTTGTAGCCAATAGCCTCATGCAACGTAAAGCCTAAGAAGGATTCTCTGCAAAGCCACTTGGTCGAGGCTAAAGCCAGCCCGTCCCTGGATGCCTTTAACTGCGCTTGTCCCAGAGGTGGGGCATGCACGATTGTGACATGGGTCGGCAAAAGTGGCCATCAGTCGGTGTGCTACATGGACCATGCATGCCGTGCACGTCAAGGTTTGCCCCCGAATGTCAGGCTCGCGTTGATGGCCTTAAATGGACCTGGGAACTTGCAATGGCCGCTGGGCACATGAAGAGCACAGGACATGTCAAACTGGCACACTGTCAGTCGCACTCAGTCAGCTGACATTCATGCGGGGATGGCAGTTGGCGGGGATGGCTCATCAACCCTACAGCAAGGATTTCACACAACCATAGGGGCTCGTTGAGACCCCGCGACTGGTTGTGCTTTGACCGGTGGAGGAAGGAACTTGGCTTTGGTCCGATAGATTTGGCTGGGGACCCCAGCCAAACGTCCCCCATTTTGACAACCCAGGTTTCTTCCGCCAGCCGCTGTCATGGTAAGTCTACCCACAGATTACTTTTAAGACGTGTTGAAGGGTGGCAGACAACAAGTCCCATCAAGTGGCCAGTCAATAACCAACGGTGGCTACTTGGAACTTGGCCCTACGAGCTATGCATGCACACTCAGGCCCAAGAGTCACCCGTTGACCTAGGCAATAGCCTCATGCAACGTAAAGCCTAAGAAGGTTTTTCTGCAAAGTCAAATGGCCGAGGCTAAAGCCAGCCCGTCCCCGGATGCCTTTCACTGCTTCACTTGGCGGCCTTTGCCCCAAAAGTGCTCGCGGCTCAGAGAGTCGAGGGCACACTGTCAGACTTCCCAAATGGCAAGACGGCAAGCGTCAGCATTGTCGGGGCATGTGACTGGGATCTAGCCATGTGCTTTGCTTCACTTGCTTGGCTCCAGTACAACCACTGGCACAGTCTGTATCCTGGGCACTGGCACTGACATCTACACGTGCAGCACGGCTGTGCCGCTTTCCAGAACACTCCTCTCCAAGCGAGACATGCAGAAAGAGCCATGGGGAATCGCCAGCCCTTGCCTTTCGCCCGGCAATCCCTGGCAAGACAGGTGCCAAGGTGCCGGGCAACCGCTCCACGGCCCGAATTCCCAAACGTGCCTCATATCAGAGGCTCGGCCCAGACCCGAAAAATATCATCACAGCCTCCTGTTTCTGGCTTAGGCCAAGTGGAGACCCGAACCCCTCGATTCACAGCTCCCCGAAATCGAGCAGCGCGAGCGCGGGTGCCAGTCTCCAATGCGCATGCAAGGCTCCAATGACGTCAGGCCCCCGCCATAGGGTCCAATGGCATCATTGCAGCTCCCAAGTGTCCGCAAGGATCGGCTCCACCGCTTTCTCTTCCAGATCCTCGGATGCCGCAGTCTCACCCAAACTTGCCACATCCAAAAACGCAGCCTCATTTTGGAAACTTGAATTGAAGCGTTTTGCAATGCATATGCATTCCCACTAGCTCTCCAACTGCATACTGGAATCAGGATTGATTCTGAAAGCAGACCTGATGAGTCTAACAAGGACTCTTGCCTATTGGAACCAAAAGCCCTCTGCGGCCACGTGGCACACCGGCTCCTCAGAATCTGCCCGACCAACCGGAAGCCCGCAGCACTCAAAAAGAAGGCCATGGCGACTGTCCGAAAAACTTTGTGGCTTCCCTTTAGAGTAAGCTGGCTGAGGAATAAAAACACAATTGGAACTGAGGTCTGGAGTTAGTTTAGATTGTACATGCAGTGTCTGTTGCAAAGCAGGTCTGGAGCACCCTTGAGCCCTCCAGTCACTATCAAGCCTAGACACAAGCCTCGCGCGAGCGACGGCAAAGTCTCCGCAAGTTCGTGTGGCCAGCGCCCCGCGATCCCGATCACTTCCGCCGCCCCATTTCGCGCCACAAGGATTCGGGTGAAACAGCGGCAATGGAGCAATGGCTGGAAGCAACGAAGCAACCGCTACCGAGTTGAACCGTCAGACGTTCAGGCACCGCCCCCGAAGTGAAACTGAGTGAAACAAGCAGACGAGATGACCTCAGGTCAGCTCACGAATGGCCTGCGCGCGTTGTCCGGTTGTTTCACCTTGCGCACTGTGACTTGTTACTTTCAGGCCCCCCTGATAGCCAGCAATGCACCATCAGAGCAAGAATTGTAAGCCAGCACAACCATGCGGGAATTTCCCTCGATCAAGAAAGAGCGCAAATCTGTAGGCATGCTTCCCATATGTCCCAGCGTGGAAAGGGCAATGTGCTCCATGTTGTGCAGCCGTGTTACAAATACGCCGGAGATTTCGCAGATGATTCAGATCATTGCGTGGCTGTCTCGAAACAGGCGAGCCGCATGATCTGCTAAAACCAACCCGACGCAACTCCCTAGGTTTGAAGAATCCCCGCATCAACCATATGGTAGTGACATCCGCCGACAGACATCCCCCCTCCCTTCCAGCCTCAAGCGCCAGTCCGCAGTACAGCAGGTCCATAGATCCTTTGAGGCTCACAACTCGCTTCCCGGACTCCAGTTTCTAAAAAACGACTTGTGTCACATCCAGCCCATGTTGTCCCTGTGCATCAAAGGCATTGATGCTAAGCCCGGGCAACCATGAAACATGACAGGCGGCAAAAGAAAAGGCTGAGGCCCAAGATCTCTTAAAAAACCTCAGAGCCTGAAGGAAATGCAGCCAGCAGAAAGAAGTTTGTCTGAAAGAAGTTTCAGCTCCTGATGTTGCCCTCCTCATCGGTGGCACCGCAGTGTCTCAGGACCTAAATGCGGCTGGCCCAAAAGCCCGCTCAGGTGCTCAGGCGCTCAGGCACCCGCCGTCACAATCTCGTGGTCCACGAGGTGAAGGGACAATTCATTGGCCAGCCTAAGTGTATGTGACACGGTATCAAAGAGGGATTTGGACCCCGCAAAAAGTTGCCCCTTCCTTCAAATCGGCTCCGAAAAGAGTACCCTCAAAAGCACACACACACACACACACCGAGGTGCACTTTGCCTGCTGCATCCGAGGCTCTCTTTGAGGCGATCTGGCTCAATGCCCGCCTGGGGGCGAGCCGAATGACACAAATGACACAAACACAAATGCCAAGGGACATCGCGAAGGGGAGAATCCGAGAAAACAGGGCCCAAAGGACTTGTTGGAAGGCTTTTACCTTGGGGTCGGCAACTTCTGAACTTTCCCTTCACGTCAGCCCGTGTCAGCCCGTGTCAGCCCCTGGCCAGATCCTGCATTTCCGGCTCGCCCTTCAGGGCGGACAACTTCCGGCAGCCTGACTCTCTGACACGTGAGCGGTTGCTTTTTGTTGCTCTTTTCTCGAAAAATGGATCACTGATCAAACCTTGGGCTCTCATTTCATCAAGGGAATTTGTGCCCACCAATTGTCCAACCTCCCTAGCAAAAAGTCATAGCCGGATGGAGTCCTTTCGGATGCACACATGGTTCTTGGCAAGCGAGCGAAAGCCGTTTAGAACCCGCAAAGGTCCCCTGAACTCATCGCAAAATCAATTGCTGAGACCGGGGCAGGCAACGGGGTCTGCCTGAGCTCCGAGCCAAGTGCACGCAGGCAATGCTTTGGGATTGCTTCGCTTTCCAAGGTCAAGGGCAGTCTAAACCGCCCGGAAAGACGTTACTTCGCTTCAAAGCCGAGATTTCGCTGGCGGCTGTCATTTTGAATGGTGATTCAAGTTCGATGTGCAGGCATGCCCAAGTCCGCATTTGTTCAGACATCTTTTTGTCTCGTCCGAAAACGGCTCTTTTGGGTGTCCTTGGAATCCTCTAAATTGGTTCTCCAAGGCAACCTGCTTCCCCTGGCTTTGAAGTTCCAAATTGACTTCGTCTGAACATGAACCTCCCCAAGACATGTCAATGCTGCGCATGGCTGTTTTGGCGGGCACCAATTTGGCGTCTCTTCAGGCCCTACTCTTCCCGTATGGGCATACCTGTGACTGGGGAAGGGGGCTATCCAAGGTCAGAGATCCTTGCTTTACTGAGGAATACTCTTTCAAGTAGGGCTTTAGACGATTCCATCTGGGTTCCGTACAGTTCCCCGAAAACACCCAGAATCGACCTAAAGCCACTTTCAAAATATGCGCTTGCTCTATGCATATAGCAGAGGTCAGGAGTCCTCCTCTTCTTGTTGAAAATTTGGTGTCCCCCCATGTCTTTCTCAATTTACTGTCCAAGCGGCATAGGGGAACTGCTTGGGCCGCGCTTCCAGGAAGCGCAGGCAGCGTTCATCGGCGCGCGTGATGTACAGCGGCTGCCCCGCGATCGTCACAGTGTTGCCTCACGGTTTGGCTGGGTCTTTTAGGAAGAAGACCCCACCTTCTCTCCGCCACTCACCCTGAAACTGCACCCGCAACTTTCTGTCACACTCCTGCCATCAACAGCGCGCGAACTGCGACAACGCAACTCTCTGTCACGCTTGCCAAACCCCTGAATAGCAATGTGCCTCTCCCTCACACTCTCCACCCTGCCAAGACTGCATTCGCACCCTGCCCAACAGCCCCCTCCTATGAATGGCGCTCCTCTTGTTATGTTTTTTTCCTTCAGGGAAACAACAGTGACAGCCCACCGCTCAGAGGCTAATGCAAGCAAGCTGGATGAAAAACAAAGGTAAAACAACGGCTCGTGATGGTTATAGTTCTTTGTGCAACTGAACACCAACCCATGGTGTTCTTGAAACGGACGAGCGAGCTCAGGCACAACAAGTGCACGCCTTCCGAAATGATCGCGCCAAATCAAGAAAGGTTCACAGGCTCTGATGTGTGTGCATGTTTGTCCGTCTGATTCTTTGCCCACCTTCGCTGCCTCACACCTCTCCAACTCAGAAGCCGAGGTCAAGACCTATGACGAGGTCGGACAGCTTGAAGTTCTCCCCGGTGTCTGGATTCTTCATTCCTCAGGGCAGAGACGGCAACCCGAAATCGACCTCGAAACCCTTCAAGACAAGGCGCTTCTCTTGTCGGCAAACCTCGGGAAGGTCCCTGCAACTACCTTTTGCCACTAACACCCCTTGGCTGTTGAAAAATGGTTCAAGCATACTTCTATAGGCTCTCATTGAGATGGAATCTGCTACACTGTGCCAAGCAGCTTCCCGGTCCAATGGCCGCCTGGCACGCTCGGCTTTGGCTTGGTGGAGCTGCCTTCTTGCCACCAGGCCGCTATTCCGGACCGGCACCTCGAAGACTGCGACCTGCGGAAGTGGCCACGGGTCAGCCGAAGTCTTGGAGCATTGGAGCGGCCTCGTCGTCGTGAGGATACCAAGCGATGACCTCGCACAGAGAGGGACGGGCAAAATCATGGGCAAAGCGGTGGGAAAGCATGTGCAAACTCATGGATGCCATAGATCTCTTTTCCATGAGCTCCGTGCGAGCACCCGCATTTCGTCTTCCGGCAAGCCATTCACCATCTTGGCTTCAAATCTCAGAACCTGATCAACTTGGCTTGCAACTGCAAAAGCCTCCCAACCCTCATCACAAGTGTCACACAGCTGGATTTGCTCACACAGCACTTCATTCGCCTCGCCCGTGTAGACCATGAGCTTTTCCAGGTCCACCTTGGGTGCCTCGGCTTTTGTAAAGCAGAGACTTGACGGTCAACGCATTGATCAAGACGCCTTCACGTTGATCATCTGCGTCGAGATCAAGGAGTCCTCCTCCCTGCCTACGCCATTGTGAGGTGGTGGCTTCAACCTCGACTCAGTCTACCGGATGCGCCCATGCGGATTGGTTTGCAAGGAGGTTCTGCGTGCAAGGCGCTTCAAGTGTCGCAGCGGCTGCTCAGACACATCCAGGCGATTGGCGCGCTGGTCAACTCGCATGTAGTCCTGAGCTCGCATCGTTTCCCCCAGGTCTCAGGGTCTCAGGTGCTCGTTGTGCCGAAAGAACAGCTTCGAGAACCCTCTCCTGATAGAACCTCTGCGTGAAGTCATCACAGTCGTACAGCATCACCTCGTATGATTCATATCGACTCATACCTTCGACGTGTTCTTCGCATGGGCGTCGCAGCAACCCCCCCCCGCGCCTTGCGGCCCCACACATCAATAGAGTCACCGACCCGAAGATCCTGCCCGCCACAGGGGCTTGGGAGGAAGAGGACAACCGTCTCTGCCAGCTCTACTGGTATAATAAGAAAACATAAATGATAAACGTTGAACGGATATCGGGGTTGAAAATCATGTAGCACGCAAGCAAAAAAAACGAAAACAGTAGGGACTGCACTCACGCTGCGAAAGGTCTGGGTTGCGGCAAGCAAACAAACTGTTTTGCTCTAGCTCACCAGAAGCTTGAGAAATTGCCCGGCGCCGTACCCGTTCCGCGCACGTTCCGCACGTGCGCAAAACAGGAAGCACCAGAAGTGGTTCGCGCTTCCCCGGAACACGCAAAAAAAGAAGCACCGGGCGCTCACCTTGAGCATTTCTATCCCAAAGTGCTGCACCTGCCGCTAAGTCAACTGCTCGTGACTGTGCACTTGCCTCCGCCTAAGCCACGATTTGCACCTTCAAACCTCCACAAAGTCCAACCCAACGCCACGGTGGGTTCGGGCAAAAGAGCTTTGGCAGGTTGAGCAGCATGTTTATCAGTCGAGCTACGCATACGCAGCGCCTGCTCCACGCTCAAGTTTCACACACCCTTGAAACCAGTTGGCCCCGATGCACAGTGGGGGCCTTGGAACAAAACTGAACGAGAGCAGAGGGACTCATGGAGCTTCTCGAAACGTAAACCACTTGGACACCAGCCACGGAGCTTGGACTGCCCCACTCGTTGACTCTCGTGAGGGTCCAAAATCAACACTGATCTTGGAAAGGCTGTCCTCCGGAAGGTACATGCAGGACTCATCTGTCAGCATGGCCGGAACGCCTGCAGTATTCTTGAGAGCTTTGCTGCATACCGGCCTTTCAAAGAAGCGCACTAGGAAGCCCTAGTAATACAGGATTCAGCTCACAAACGTGCCCTTAGCCCGTCCAAGCTGCAATGGGCCACGTTCTTCTTGCGCAGAATTCCCCGCTTAAAGAAGACCTGAGGCCCACAAGAAGCACAAAACATGCGGCTTCCCGTCCGTGCAGGCGGAACGCTGGAGCTGCGTAGCGTCCGGAGTTGCGGCATTTCGCCTGCAGACTTATTCTAAAACTGGTGTCATTCTCTGCACCAAAAGCGGGCTCACGCATCTTGGACTTCTGTATCATTAGCTTCAGTCTCCGGGCTCTCCTCGTTGAACTCCATGGTGTTGTCTGCCAAGTAGTAGTGGATGTTGAAGTATGTGCGAGCGCCATACTTGGTATGATCATCCCAGAAGCCATGAAAGCGCAGAACCTTGCGGTCCTCAGAGCAAACAGATCTCGTAGCGCACGGCCGGCAAATCAGATGCGCCAATGCTGCGTCCAGTCCCATGCACATGTTTTTTGAGGAACGCACGGGCCCCCTAAGTTTCAGACGTTGAGCAGAAACTGCGACAGCTTCTTTGTGACCGGCGGAGCCCCCATCTGAAACCTTGCAGGAACTGGCCAAAAAGGATGAAGTCCAAAATCAAATTTGAAGCTTTCTCACGGAGATGTGTGTCACATGCTCGCGTCTCGTGGCAACAGCCAAGTGAGCAGACTCAGAAATCGATTCAAACGCTCGCGGGGCTTCAGCCGAAAGCTTCCACTTCAGAGAAATGTGTGTCTACCTAATATGAAGACTACTCTTCGGAAATGGAACAAATGCGCCCCACACAATTCAACACGTCCGCAACACGAGCATCGTATTGCTCCAGGCTTCACCCAAGTCCCTTGCTGCCCAACGGTCTTCTGCTCGACTGCAAACTGTGAGGGAGGCAAGCTTCCCCGCTCTGCGAGCTTCCTGGCGCCAGTGCTCAGCCCTGGAAACTCGGGGGAAGAAAGGGATCGGATGGGATCTCAGAAGATCTCGGATTGTCGGATCGGAGATCCCATCCTAAGCTTGTAGGACTTCTGCCAGTCGTCATCCAGCACCTGCAGCGAGAACGCCCGGAACGTCATGGGACCAAACTGGGCTTGAGCGTCGTGGCATTTTGGCTTTGAATGATGGGCGTCAAAAGAAGTCTCAGGATCAATGGCTTCGTGGCTCACGAAGCACCGGTGCTGCGACTGCGCCTCTTCATTCTCGCCCACATCGATTCCAAGCTCATCGAAATACCATCTAGTAAAACGATCACATCCGGAGATGTGGTATGTCCTGCTCCGCATAAAACCCCTTGTGCCATAGAATGAGAATGTCTAGGAAACAGGATGCCTACCACCCGATGCGCTGTATACTCTAGGCACCACAGTGTACAATATTCTTTGAGCTGCTAGATTGATAGACACACGCTCTCCTGCCAAAGAGGGTGATCTCTATGCCGCACCGCAGGTCCTCTGGACTCACAAATCCTGGCCGACTGCCGCGGGAAATATCAGATTCATTGCCCTCCCAACAAACATATAAATAGATATATATATATATATATATGTATCCCGTCTGAATCTCCCTTGCGCAGAGCCATGTTGCCTCTTCCGTCCGGCCACTCCACCCGCTGCCGCTTCAGAAACGAGCCTTTGCTTCTGAAGAACAGGCAAAGCCACTGAGTCTTCCCGGAAAACCCGCTTGCCTGAAAGCACGCTTATATAATTCCTTGCAGGTTCCTTTCACTCACTTGCAGGTTGCTGACTCCCATCTGCCAGGCAACCTTGGGCAATCCCAGAGTTCTCGATGCGAGGCTCAGACATGCTGATCGAGCCATCCTCGAGATAATACCTGAGCGACATCGCTTGCACGCCGAAAATCCACTATGACAATGCCAAGCGTCATCAGGATGATGTGGCGCTTGCGGCTGTTCTCATCGGGACGCTCAGTGACAGACTCCTGGAAAAAGGCGTAGAACCGGAGAACCTGCCGGGCAGACCCCATGCGATGTGCGCATCGCCTCTGAACACGCCTGCTTCTCGTGCTTCAGCCAAGCAGGGCTAAGTCGTGGGCACCTTTGCTGGTCACAACTTGAACTCTGCCACATCAAGTGAAGCATGCTGTGAACTCTGCCCTGGGTCACATGAAACAATTGCGGATCCAAGAATCCGCCGATTTTTCGGCACTAAGTCCTGTTACATCTCAGTGAGCAAAGGCTGTGGCTTGCCATTCAAAACCTTGGGTTCCTATGCCTCAAAGTCCCTTCGCGCGTTGCAACTGAGTCATCCCGAGCTCTGCGTCCTCCTCTGTCACAGGAGGCTGCTCCGGCTCCGGCGTGGCCCGCTGGCGCCAACCCGGCCGCTGCAATTCCATGACCTCGCGGTCTCGGATGCATGGATTGCTGAAGCTGAATGTTCCATTCGTCTGAGTGCTGGGCATATTCAAGGACTTGTTGGCCTGAATGATGACTTGCAGGCATGCAACATGCGTGAACAAGGAAACCTTTCAAACCATGTTGCAAGCACAACCAGAAATGCTCCGTGTGTTGCAAGTCAGGCCAACAAGGTGCAAGTCCAGTCACGCTGACAAGGCAGCCGGAATTCTGCTTGATTGCCAAGATCTAAGATCTGGGGCGCCAGCTAATGTCAGGCTTTTTGAAGGTAGCAAATGCCGATTTTTTGTCGCCACCCTGGGTCGAGCGAGTTGCGCGGCTCAAGAAGCTGGGTCTGACAGCTGCACCGTCGCATATCGAAGCGATTGCTGCTTTTCATGGCCTGGCTCAGCGAAAGAAACCTATCGGAGATCTGCCCAGCCCAGCCCTGCCGCTTTGCCCTGCCGCCCTGCCTGCCAATTTGGGGCCGGTGGTTCCCAATGCCAGGATCGCCGGCAACGACGACGACTTCCCCAACATCACGGCCTGAAAACGCGATCGAGGCAGCCAAGCCGGCTTGGGGCAATGGCCAAGCCTGGGCTTGCGGCTTTCAATGCCCATTTGGGCCAGGGCACGTCTGCGTCAAACACGACACATTTCTAAACACAAACCGAACACTCGGCTGTTGCTTTGGAGTGGGGGCACGTCGAGGTCGCCGTTTCGTCACTTGCTTGCTTGGAAACCGCCCATGTTTGCTCAGGGTGTTCTCAGTTTGCTGGCGCGACGGTGTTTTTGCGGCGCGACACCGTGCTTTGCAACGTGAGAACCGTCTAGCTGACGCGTGTGCAGTGTGGGACGCATCATGGGTGGCATGTTCTACGCTGTCGAAGACGAAACAAAATCTGAAGTCTTTGGAAGTGGCTGCAGCTTTGAAGTATCCTCTCGTAGTTTACAGCGGCCTTCCAAAATGCCAGCACCCTTCAGGTCTTTGAAGAGAAGCAGTTTGAGCAGTATTCGGAACGGTCTCAAACAAGCGTGAAACAGGCGAGACACATTTGAAGACGAGCTTCCACATAGAGCCACAAGCAACATCCGCAAGCCCCAAAACAACTGCCCGATTTGATTTTTTGCGCACTGACAACAAGAACCCAAAGCGAAAACGCTCTGTTGGCCACTTCGTCTCCGTTTTGCAGATCCACAAAAGTGCTGCTCCAAGCAAACACGGGACGAAAAAACGAAGACACGACGTGTTGTCAGTTCGGCATGTTCTCGCAGTACACATTTTCCGACACACACTTGTGACCGGCGAGATAAAAACAAAACTCCAACCCTTGCGAGAAAAAACATTAAGGTCCGCTTACATGGAAATTTCGATTTGAAACAGCAAACCACTCAATTGTGTTTCATTTACAACCTTCTCACAAGCCAACTAAAAACCCTCAAAACAGCATGATGACCAACAAGTCAACCTGATGCTCGAACCCCCAAACACTGGAACAAGCCAACCCAACTCCTTCCACAAGCCAATCTGAGGCTCACAAGGCCGTGGGTCTTTTCTTGGCCCTCCTATTGTGCGCACACTGCAATTTACGCGTTGGCGATGTCTCGCGTGTTCGCCTTTCGGCCCTGTCCTTCTCAGCACAAACGAGGGGTGCATCAACTCCTCTTGGTTAGTAAAATGGTTGGACGCCACCTTGCCTTTTGCCTTGCAAGCTCGATTTGGAAGCCCAATCGTTGCAACCAAAGGGTTAAAGCATGTTGCACTGCTCCTATCTTGAACCCAAACCAGACCACCCAAAAGAACAAAGCAAGTCCGAAGCGGCCGCAGTTCTTTTAACCGGGATTGCTGAAAGTAGCACTGCTTCCAGCGCACGGATGCGCCTGGAGCAGGAGGTGCGTTGACCCCCCGTGAAACTTAAAGGCAAGACAATGCGTGTCCTTGCGAATGCGTGCAGTGCATGCATGGCGTGGCAGGCGTGCCCACGCCGGTCCGGAGACCTAGTGGTCCTGAGACCGTGGGCGGTCCGGAGACCGGGAGGTCCGGAGACCATGAACGGAAGTGCAGAGCGTCTGCAACTTCCCTTTGCAGAGCCTTGTACAAGGCAGTGCAGGGTGGGTGGGTGGGTTTCAAATGAAAAGGAACGAGTTTGGGTCAAGGCTAGGAGCAAAACGGCCACCGCGGAAGTAGATTCACAACATGCCCTAAACACAAGGGAAAAGAAAACCCTAAGCGTTAAGGCATGTTGCACTGCTCCTATCTTGAACCCAAACCAGACCACCCAAAAGAACAAAGCAAGTCCGAAGCGGCCGCAGTTCTTTTAACCGGGATTGCTGAAAGTAGTTCTGCTTCCAGGGCACGGATGCGGGTTGCACCTGACAGGGCAAGCGTCGCATGACATTGCACTCTCTTGGTCGCGAGCATTCTGTTGCTCAGGGACCGCCCTTTTTTGGTCAGAGCGGCTTGCTGTCAAGCTGCTGACTGATGCATCCAGATATCCTGGTTGCCAGGGCGATGTCGGGTCGCAATGCATGTTGGGATGCATTATCTACACGCTGCTGGCGGCAGCTGCCAGATGTTCCGGGCGCCAGGGCGCATCAATCGGACACAGCTGGATGCCTCTGCCTGATAGTGCAAGGCCTGCAGGGCTGAAGCGTACGCGACTCTCAGGGCGACGGCTGAATCGGGCCAACCGACCTCTGCTTAGGTCGTCCGCCCAATCATTGTTCCTTCCCGGAACGTGCGTTGGCTGCAGCAACACGTTGTGTGCATGAGCCCAGAAGGCTGTTAGTTGCACGAAGAGTTGCAACGGCCAGGAGGTCGTGAACAACTTGTTAAGGCTTGCTTCTGTTGCCGAATTATCAGTGCCCGAAGGCATGCTGAACGAGTAGTGCCCACCACCAATATGGCTGTGGGTGGCTTGCAACGCGATTCAAGAGCGGACTCAAGAATGCGTGACTGAGGTCATGACCAATGTGCCTGAATTCAGGGCTTGTGAAGGTCCCGGAGGAGCCTTCAATTGCCAAGGCACGCGGTGCCAAGGCAGCAACCCGCGATTCAAGAGCGGACTCAAGAATGCATGACTGAGGTCATGACTGATGTGCCTGAATCACAGGGCTTATGAAGGTCCCGGAGGAGCCTTACTTGGCCAAGACACTTGGTATCAAGGCTGCAACCCCGGAGGGATGCGATTCAAGAGCGGACTCAAGAATCAATGACTAAGCCCGTAGCTGAGGGCGGGGAGCGCAATGCAATAGGCTGGAAAAGGCTTGGGGCGAAATGCAGTTGATGCACACTAATGCAAGGTGCACATGGGCTCAAGATCCAAGTGTGCCGTTTCAGTTATTTTACATTGGCAAGCGGCAAAAAAGGCAGGGCTGTCACGGGGCGTGGCGCCGGCTTATAGCGCTTGCATCACCAAAGACTAACACATTGCCTTGTGCGTCATCGCCCTGCCCTTTGCACTCTGCCTGCGGCCGCATCATCAATGACAGGATTCCCCTGTTCGAGGATACGCACACTTCGCACTACTGCAGCCGGTGCTATGAAGCCTTGCAACCTAATGTAGCCATGTACTAATGCCCCGCACTGTGCCATCGACTGCGCTATTCAGCTTCAGGAGGGCCGCGCAGTGCACTCACTTCATTTTCTTAAAACAAAGAGAATGTTTTCGGTGAAGCCTTCTGCTTTGTTGCACCCATTACATGTGCATTCGACACATTGCGCTGGCCCTCATCATGACCGATCCGCAACAGCAGTTGCAACGAAGAAACAGACGTGCGCACTGCCCGTTAGCCCAACCTTCGCAGCCTGCGCAGTGATGCCCCCCCCGGCACAGGTACACCAACGGGCCTTCTGGTCAGCGCCTCAGAGGGTCGCCTGTACGCTGCCACCCACTTGCCCTGCATGCATTTAGGCTCGATGCCTTATCGTAGTAAGAAATTCTGGGGGAGAGCATTTTCATTTTCCCCCGATGGCCCTTCAGAAGAAATGGCAGAAGACCACCCGGCCTTCAGCCCAAACACGTCATCAGGCCTTGCGGGCGCACGCCCTGCAACTGCCGCCAATGCTACGTCGCCGGGAGCCACTGCCAAAGCCAAACCGGTGCTCAACCAAGCAGCCATGCCCTCGCACATTGACCACAGCAGCCGGGCAAGACCTTACCCTGTGCGAGCACATGTGAGTGATCTCCGCTTTCAGCTTACGAGCCATCCAGCACTGCCCCCTCGTCCTAGGCTCTCAGTGGCCAACCAAAAACCAGGTCCAATTCCGGAGTGCATTCCATTAAGGTCCTGGGTGGACCCTTACTCCTGCCCCCTGCCCAAGCCACCTTGCAGACCTTGGCCTCGCAGCCTAGCCTTGCAGACACACACCAGTCAGGACCGTACAGGTCAGGCCCGGCCCCTGCACAGCCTACCAATTGCAGCGATCCCTTCACGCCGCGTGTTCAGCGCCAGGCCTGCGTTGCCAAGGCCATACGGCCCTGTTCGCCCGCCCGAGCCTTCATCAACTGCGCAGTTACAAGCCACGCTGAAGGACAAGTGCACTGCCGAATGGGTTTTGATACTCAAATCGTGCATCGCTGGCAGCATGCTAGCGCAAGCCCTGGAAGCCTCGCAACACCCGCACGTCCTTGTCGAGGCATCGCTGCGCAAGTTTTCGGGGGGCGCGCTGTCACAGTACCTCCGAGCCATCCGCCTTTTTCTCACCTTTGTGAATCAGTGTGTGGGGAATTTGCTTTGCCTTACCCTAGCCCATCTGTCAGATTTCATCGCAGGTTGCCATGTGTCACAAGCAGAGGACCGCGCTGCACTCAAGTGTAGCGCATTCATGATGAGTAAAGCCCTGTCCTGGTTTGCGCGCATTGGACAGGTACCAAGCCTGCTGGACTTGATGGGCAGCCCCTTAATCAAGTCCTTCGCATACAACCCCAAACGCCCTGCCTTTGCCATTAGCCGTACTTGCAGCATGGGAAGAACACATAGTTTCGCCTGCTTGCACGCCAGCCGTGGGCTTGCTACTAGGCGCCCTGCTCTTGTGCGCACATTGCAGCCTTAGGTTTGGGGACATTCAGAGAATCAAGCCGTCCGCTCTCTCGCTGTCCGCGCAAGCACTTCGTGTTTGCCCTTCGGTCTTCGAGGGGAAGACATCAGCGCATGAAGTGGCTTGCCCTGCTCAGCCAAGCATTAGACGCCACTCAGGCCGAATGGGGAGATTCCTTCGTGCCCGACTTCATTCTGCCCCAAATCTGGAATCCAACACCTGGTTTAGCCTTTCACGCCCAATGTTCACCCCCCCACAGCCTTAAATGCTCGCTGCTCAGTGCGGCGGCTGCGCAGCTTTCCCGAAGACAGCCGAAGACTTCAGGGCCCCCGTCGCCTGTCATCTGCACTGCTGTACAGCAGGGATGACGCCATAGAAGCCTTGTGGGTGCGATCGGAGCTTGCCTTGGCCATCAGACGTGGCTGGAGACCCGCGTGGGGGCCAGCGCCCAACCGTGGAACCAGCCTTTCAAGTCGTACAGGCAAGTCCTCCAAGCCAACTGGAGCTCCAGAGCCTCCCACCAAGCCTTGCAAGATTCCTGTACCACAGGGAGGGACAATTTGCTGTCCGCAGCCCTCAATACAGACGAAGAGGCTCT